TTAATTTTTTGTATGCATGGTTTCACTACAAACTGCATGCCAGTAAGTACATGTACATGTATTATTTATTTAATTAATTGTTTATAGGATCATTTCAAATGTTGATCAAGTTTATGTCAAGTTTTAAAGCTCCTGAAGGACATTGTAATACAGCGAAAGTATATATTTATTTACATTTATCTATGTGTTGCTTATTTATTTTATAGGAGCAGCTGCTCAATCAATCCTATTCTAGTTTATTACTGAAATCAATTAAACACGGCAAGTGTATTTACATGTACCTGTATACACTGTAGTTTGCTAATTGTTTATACAATGTAGTTTATAAATTAATTTCATTGTTAGGTTTCTAAGATTATCTTTACTCGAAAAGATCTCATTACTATTACTCGTCGAATATAAATATTATCCAAACTAAACCTTACCCATTATTATGTAAGCGTTACATCATGTGACCATATGTCATGTGACTATCATTGGTAGGTTTTGTTAAGACCCTTCATGAAGAGTCTTTCCTTGAAGTGCTAGTTCATGTAGGGTAACATCATTGCTACTCTGAGTATACTGAGTTTTACTAGTTTTGGTTATTATAGGAGTCAGTGCAACTGATGAAGCTCATGTATAGGTGGGTGTGGTTTAGAGTAGGAGTGGCTTTTAATCATAAGTTTCGTTTTATGTCGTTATGCTACGTAGATATAATTTTTTTAATTATGAGCATTAAAAAAATGAGCCAATTTTTGAAAAAAAAGGCTGTGGTTTATGCTTTTTCTGAAACAACAGCTCTGAAATCACCCCAATTTTTATTACATTTTCTGATACACATTGATGCCCTTATGCTATGCAGAAGTTTGAACTATTTCTGGCAAATAATTTCTTGAGTTATGAGCATTTTTAAAAATGAGCCATTTTTTAAAGAATACCCAATAGCCCATGCTTTTTTTTGAAAATGGCTCTGAAATCACCCCCAATTTTTTATTACATTTTCTGATACATATTGATGTCCTTATGCTATG